AGATTGTTGAGGCTGACAGTCTTTAACTTGGTATCTAAAGGCATACACGACTTTTATTTCTTTCAATTCAATATATCATATACTGGGAAAGTTCACTCATTTCTCTTGACGTGGTCCAACCACTTAGGCTGGATGGTAGAGCGACGGTCACGCTTCATGCAGGTCGGCGTTCAATCCCCGACCGTCCAATTGGTTGGGCACCATTCCTTCCCCCCATCCCATCCAAAATTCTTATCCAGATTCCTTCCAAGTTCTATATAGTCGTAATGGATTGGCTCTTTCCCTTGATAATTCACTCGCACAATTCTCTTGAAGTGTGTGGAGAGCTGTGTCTTCTACTTATTGTTGGTGGAGTCACGTTCTCTCGATTACGTCTCTCAGGACTTTTCCCCATCTCATGGGTATTTTATAAGATGTTCTTGATGGGAAGTTTAAAAAATTTGGAAGTGCCGACCTCCTTAGAGTTGATATACGGATCACCATTATTTTGATCACTACGACATAGCAATAGAAGTATCCTTTGTTCACAGTAAGTTTGACCTTCACTTGCTTATAGTTAATTATCAGTACAAGCCTGGAAATGTCAGTGAGACTATCAAAACTAAAAAAAACTTGAAACCCGCATCGTCCTTCCGTCAGCCAGATGCGCACATCCTCCAACCCGTTCTCGCAAATTTAATAAGTCAATATTGACTTATTAAATATGCGCATAGGTGACATACTTAACATAATAGTTTCCCTTGAAAAGCTTCATAGAAAACACCGACCTTACCTAACCTACTTAGTATGTTAAGATAAGCATCTTATTGCTTCGTAATTACAATTATTACCTAACCTATAATAGGTATAGGTTAAGTAATAATTGTAATTACGAAGCAATAAGATGCTTATCTTAAGATACTAACAAGGTTAGGTAAGGTCGGTGTTTTCTATGAATCTTTTTAAGGGTATCTATTATGTTTAGTATATCACCTATGCACGTAGTTAATAAGTCAATATTGACTTTACGAATTTGCGAGAACGGGTTGCATCCTCATACAGGCTGGCTAGGCCACTCAACACTGTTCACCTCATTTCCGTCATTTGATTTCAGCTGTATGTGAATCGACGAAGACAGGTACTGGGTGAGATCTCTGGAGGTTGGGTCACTCTTCACCGACCTGCCTGTAAATAATGCAAATGCAGTGGTGACAAAGCTTATCACTGCATTTGCACTCCTCTAATCCTCCCAAAATGTGTACATTTCCAACTGCTTGAAGCATGCACCTAAGAGACACATTTCCAGAACCCAGGTGGTCTCATAAACAAAATGGATATAGTGTTTCAATGAGCTCCACTTAGGTGTTCTGTTTGCTAATTTTACCATGGTAGAGAAAGTTCTTGCGTTCTTCTTGTACCTGAACCCTAAACTTGGACTCAGCTCCAGGTTTGTTAATATAATTTTCTTGCAGACACCTGACATGGAACACATGCTGCAGTTAAAGAAGCTTCTGGACAACATTTCATGCTTAATTTCACTAGCAAAATGGAGAATGAGGATATATTGTTTTCATGGACACAGCAGTCTTGGGAAGAAATGGTAGCTCTCCCGCTTCAGTCTATACTAGCATAGGAATGTGCCTTAATGTTAACAGCAGGAGCATTGACCGGTACAAACAGAATGTTGTAGACCTTTATATTAACTGTTCTTTTACAGCTTCACCTGGACGCAGATTAAAGAGGAACTTAGTAGAGCACGTCATTCCTGTCGACAATTGTTATTCAAACTGATATGTCAGATCATTTAACATTGATGTAAGCCACAGTGCCTCGATATCAGCTATCAATATCAGCACAATATCAGCTACTTCTGATAATATGCTCAACACTGCAGACTCTGTCCTACCTCTTAACCTCTTCATCAGGAAATACTCTTTGGCAGCTCAGAAAAATTGAGGACAGAGTCCTGGAAGACATCATTAAATATATCTGTGACTACTGCCATTACTAAACAGAGGATTCATCTCCTTATACAACAAGAGTAAGAAAATTGACAGTGTGCTCATGAAGAACTCTTCAGACATCAAATAAAACAACTTGTAAAACAAGTGTCATATATATCTTTATATTCCCACTTGCAGACTGTCAGCCACAACGCTCTCAATATATTGGATTAAAAAACAATATATATTTCATCGTACCTAAAAATGTTCTATAATGGATCATATTGATTTTACATCCAACCAAACCACCAGAGATTTTCTGACCAGCTAAAACAAAATAATCAATAGGCACAATGGCAAAAGACCAAGACAGAACTGCCACCTAACAGAACACCTTAGGCACCTCACCTCACCTTATATTCTCTGTATATGAGGGAAGGGTTTACTTTCTTGCTTATTATTGTTACTTCCTGCAACAACCTGCAGTTGCATGCAACAACACCAACACTGGTGGTGGTCACACTGCAAGAGGTCACTTGGCAGAAAATCCCAACAAACTCGGGGGCGAAAGTGCACGCCGTGGTCCCTGTATCTCCGGTGGTGAGGAAAGAGAGGTGTAGGGGAGGAGGGGGAGGCACTGAACTGCATTGGCAAGGAATGGACACACCAGATGTATGATTCTGGAGAACCCTCGACACCCTCGAGCAGTACAGGTACTTCCCTTCACTTGGGTCTAGTTCTTCAACTACTAAGTAATGTAGATCATGACTAATGGGTCCCTACACCACATTTATATTTAGGAGTTGAGCCTTGGGTCTTGATACATTGAACCAACCAGGTTAATGACAATTAGCAAACAATAAATGGCAGACCATATCCCTGGGCGGTACTAAGAAAATGGATGTCATTAAGACAGGTGTAGTAGTAGTAGGCATCCATCAGTCTCAGGAGACTACGGAGTTGAGCTCTGGTTGTCGGTCTGGAGTGGCCTCTCCATGGCGCAAAGCCAGGGTAGGTTGATTCAGGGGAGAAGCTGTTACCCAGGCAGCAGGTCCCCCCTCTCCACGGCGCTGAAAGTCTCGAATGGAAAGGCATACGCCAATACGATTGGAGAGGTGTGTGGGAACCGACCTGTGAGATTTATATTTATTTAATTTATATGAATTTATATTTACGTTAATTTATATACTTCGATAGCAATTTGTATAATGTTAAGTGGACTGTATTTCTGCAATAATCTCATAATCTCACAAATCGATCCTCTACACATTAGGGGGGGTTTATTAGTTTATATATATGCAGCCAATCAAACTACAGAATTAACTACATACATTGAAGAGGTTCCTTATCTTATAGTACAGCAGGCTAGTCCACCAGGTATAACTAGGGTGTAGACACCAAATTATCCTCTTTGAGGTAGCTTCCATCACCCAGTAACTGGTGCACAAAATCTTGCATCCTCGTCTTGACCTGTCAAAAGTGCGCTAGCTGTGAAGCCAGATACCTATATATGACAAGCTATATCAGAGAAAACTGTACATGGAACATTGAAGACCTGGCTTAATTACCTTTAGTTTGAGGCTTCCACGTGCTCTAACCGGGTCACCCTATATAATGACATTAATGGCCACTAATGATAGATAATGGGTTTCGGAAAGAACACTTAACTTGATTTGTAGACAGCGTGTTGATAATGGTACACTTCTGGTTTCCATAACACTACGTCCAAGTAAATTAACAGGAGCCGAATTTGCTCCCGTGTGAGCCTCTGGTCTAGTCTCAACAATGGCTGCATCTAACACTCCATACTATTGACGCCTGGCCGACATTGTCCAGATATGATAGGAGCCAAATTTGCTCCACACGTCTCGGAGGTGACACAACAATGGCTGCCCTCCTTCCCCACTCTGACGCCTGGCTTACATTGTCCACATGTCAGAAAGTGATAGAAGGGTCACATTTACTCTACTTTAATATTGATAATTAAGTTAATTTATATAAGATGTTTTATGATGGTAAAGTCCAAAGACTAATGTATTTAAGAATAATTCCCAGCAGAATAGCTGGTGAATTTATAATGGTATGTGGTGATGATATCCCGTTTTCTATAGACGGTAATTCCACTACAAGTTACGTTTTCTATGGGTAACTTGTTTATACAACACAGCTATTATCTGTATGATATATTAAATGGTGTCGGATTTTCCGACAAGGTGTATTAGTTCAAATAAATGTATTCAACCAACCTACTAATACAATATAACATACTGTACTTATTATTTATTTATTTATTTATTTATTTATTTATTTATTTATTTATTTATTTATTTATTTATATTCAATGTACCAAGTTCAATGTACTAATTCAATGTATCAACCCAATGTACCAAGAAGGTACATTGGGTTTATGAGAGTACACAGCATTGATGTTATTACATTCTTGTAAAACCACTAGCACGCATAGTGTTTTGGGCAGAAACGGTAAATATCGTTACACTACATTACGTTAACTATCACCCACTAATAACACCTTCCACAACAGCAAATCTGCTTCCACCACACTAACATGTGATATGAGGACTCAGTCTCGACCTTCTGGACAGACCATAAACAATAGTGAACTAATTGAACACTTTGTGAATACTCAGGCAATTACTGCACTCAGCACTTGCAGTATCAAAACACCCATATCAACACTAATCAATTAATTACATTAACAATGCAACTAACTCTGAATTCATTTACATTAATCACTCTGTCACTAAGACAGACAATCACTGTTAATTATGTTAACACACCAATAATTATGATTACACTATTATTATTTTAATCGCACAGACGCAAACAATAACAATGGACTTCTCACACGTGCCACTAAGACTCCACAAAGTAAACAACTTTCCTACATATCACTAAGACATTTGTAAGGTACACAACGTATGTGCCACTAATACATCTGTAAGTACACAACATACCTACATATCACTAAGACATCTGGAAGTACACAACTTACAGGTGCCACTTTCCCCACCATTCACCGATAATTCAACGAGTCGCCCACTGACTGACCCACCGCAGGTCTCGCCCAAGGAGGTTGAGGATGTATTGGTGACAGTTGAAGGAGTGAGGGAGGCGGCGGTAGTGGGGGTGCCAGACGCAAGAACAGGGGAGGCGCCCAGGGCCTACGTGGTGCCCACAGCCAGTGCCACTCTCTCCCCAGCTTATCTCCAGCGATATGTCGCAGGTAAGAGAATTTCTCTGAATTTACCTGAGTGCCATAATCTATAGTGTTCTCGATAGTGGGCAGGAAGGTGGTAGGAAGTTTGGGAAATTGGACGGGAAGTTTGGGGAATCTAAGAAAACGCGGCAAATTTAAACATTAACTTTAATATTTTGTGTATAAGTAATTAATGTGTAGGTGGACTCACCTTGACTAGGTGCTCATTAACGTGTCGTCCCACAGAGCGAGTGGCACACTACAAACGACTAACGGGAGGCGTGGAACTGGTGGATGCTCTGCCCAGGAACCAGTCCGGCAAGGTTCTTAAGCGCCAGCTGAGGCAAGCCTTCCTCACCTCCCGCTCCAAGCTCTGACCTCCCTCTCCATAGTAGCAAAGCTCACCCTTCACAACAGAACCCCAATCTTCCTCCAAGCTCTAAATCTTCATTTTCAGTGGCAAGGCACATTTTTGACAAAGAAGGAAACCCAAGTCCCACTTCAGTCGCTCTTTTCCTTCTCGTGAGGAACGAAGTTCCCTTTTACTCACTACAACACTCCCCCTCCCCCCCCCCCAGGTGACAGTAATAGTTGACCATCATTACAATTACCCCCCCCCCCCTCTCCAGGCGTGTGAAATGAAGCAATTAGTGGGACAAAATTATATGGACAGAATGTCTGATATCTCCATCTACAGTAGCTACTTTCTACTTCTAGATCTGGAATCATCCGGACAACAGTTATCAATGCCGTTTCAATCTAAGCTAACTATCGACAGTAGCTACAGGTCATGCTTGCTCTAGACATTGAACTCTCTCTTGAACGTAGCAATAGACATCTTCCGAATCTAAACTTGACATTCAACAGAAAATATAGACCCAGTCCCGAGCCATGAATTACCTAGACAACGGCAATAGTTACTGTCTATTTTGAAGCTCTTCGTGTAAGTCCCTCCAGTCCATGCCAAGCTCTAGGTTCTCCAGTAACAAAAACTACATCATTCTTTCGCACTTCAGGATCTTGCCTTCCCCTTCAAGCGTACCAACACCTTCCCCTAGCTAACAATTCTCCTTCGAAAGCAAGCATCAATACCTCTCCAAGCACTCGAAGCCCCAGGACCCCATACCCAAGCTCTCCGGGCACTCGAAGCCCCAGGACCCCATACCCAAGCTCTCAGGGCACTCGAAGCCCCAGGACCCCATACCCAAGCTCTCAGGGCACTCGAAGCCCCAGGACCCCCATACCCAAGCTCTCCAGGGCACTCGAAGCCCCAGGACCCCATACTCAAGCTCTCCAGTGCACTCGAAGCACCATCAACAATATATCTTCTTTGGCCCCCCAGCCCCACGAACCTTAACACTAGCAATACCTTTCAATCCATTCCATGAATTAAAATCCAACTCAATAGTAGCAATAGCCACCACTGTACCTCAAGTTTGAGCTCCTCTTTGACAGCTCCAATTTGTTCCTTTCCTATCCTAAAAAGCTAAATGCTAGGAAGAGACCAAATCTCCTGGAATAAAAAAAAACACAATTTATTTTTTAGTTTAATTTATCCCAACAAAGACAACACTTGGTATATCAATATTTTTTAGTGTCAAGTCTATATTTGTGATTAGTTAGCCAAAACCTAATTATTAATAACAAAATTATTATTACATATGTATTAAAAATATGATTAATAAAAACATAATCAATAAAAAATAATAAACAATTATTGATAAGCCATAATTAGTACAAATATTAATGAACATAATTATTAAAATAATTATTAATAACATAGCTAACAAAACACACAAACAATACAAAATGTCTCAATGTCAATAAAATGGGGAGTCTGGCCCTAGCTTCGGTAGGGGACGGACGTGTTGCCTAGGCGTTCCGGCAGTTGGTGGTATTTACCAGTTCGGCCGGTTGGGGGCGGGTGTGTCTCTGCTCGCCTGTGCTGACGTGGCGTTACGATGGGGGTCCCTCTCCCCCCTGTCGTCCGGGCTCAGTCTGTAGGACTCAAGTTCTCTGTGTGGGCCGGTTACCCGGAGATTGCGCTGGCTTGTGATTTGCTCTCTGTCCCTGTGTTTGAGATTTATGGGGTCGAGTTGGTAACGGCCCGTAGGGCGATTGTGAAGTTCACAGAGGAGGTGGCGTATCGCGATTTTCTCTGGCGATACGAGGGGCGGACATTACCCCTGCCAGATGGTGCGGGCACTGTGACCCTCTCTGATAGAAGTGGTGCACTTACTTATGTCAGTGTGCATGGGGCTCCCTTGGAGTTTCCAGAGGGTCTGCTACGGCGGTATTTCGGCCGGTTTGGCGCGGTAGTTAGTGTGAGGGTGAACGTGGTGTCTTCCAGTCCTCTTAAGGGTGTGATGACTAACATTCGCACCCTGGGCATGAGACTCCGGGCGGATATTCCGTCCTCTGTGCGCCTTATGGGGTACAACGTTCGGGTGTTATGGGGTACAACGTTCGGGTGTTTTACGCTCGCTAGCCGCGTACGTGTTATCGTTGTGGTCTTTTGGGCCATTAGGCTGCTGCCTGTTCTGCGCCTTCCGTTGCACCAATGAATCTCTTCAGTGAGGAGGATTTTCCGCCACTTCCTGTGGGGGATGATTCGGTGGATGTGGACGTCTCTTCGGCTGAGGAGGTGCCCTCTGTATCAGCTGTTGCTCCGCCTGTTGTGCCCCCTGTTCTTGTCGTTTCTCCTCCGGTGCTTGTGTCCTCACCTAGTGCTCAGCCTGTTCTGGCTGGTGTCCCTGAGCCTCTTCCGTCTGCTCGGCCCCTCGTCTTCCAGTTCTTCCTCTGCTGCGTCTGTCCTGGTCCCTGCACCCTCGCCGTCTGTGCTGGGTGATGGGGTGGCTGCAGAGCCTCCTGCTGTGTGTGGTCCGGTTCCCCCTGTGGTAGAGGCTGCTGCCGTTCTGCGTCGGGCGCCGGTTCGTGCGGCTAGTGGTGCCCGTGCCTCTGGTTCTGCTTCCGGCTCTGACAATATCCGGCCGGAGCCCAAACGTTCCAGGCGTTCGTCTACGGCCTGGTCTGATGTTGGGGACTTTAGTGACTGTGGGTCTTCAGGTGTTGACGGCGTGGATCCGGCTGAGTCGTTGTCTCCGCGGTTGGTGGTGGCGGAGGTTCATGTGCCTGCTGGTGCTGATGCCCGTGTCTCGGGTGTGTCTCCTGTTTCTTCCTCGCCCGGGGGCTCTCCACAGTGGGGTGTGGTGGCTTCCGCTGCCAGGGATGGTGCGGATGTTGGTGCTGGGCGTGGCCTGGTAGTGATTTTACGTAAGGATACGCACCGCCATGATTCCCTGCAGTCGTCTGGTGGTGTGCCCAGGGCCGTTGGTGCCCCTGTGGTGGTGCCCTCTGTTGAGCCCTCTGTCGAGCCCCCTCCTGCGGTGTTGTGCCTTGAAGACCTGGAGGCCCGGGTTGCCGAGTTCCTGCTGCTTGAACGGCCGGAGGACTTTTCTGGTGGGCGGGTTCCGGGTGTATGGGATCGGGTGGCGGCTACTGGCGTCCGGAGGGACACCGTGTGGGTTCCATGTCTCCGGGTGTTTGTTTCCGAGGTTCCGGTTCGCATGGCACCCCCGGTGTTAGGTCACGCCTCCTGGACAACGTGGCTGCTTTGGGAGGCGTTCAATGTGCGGTTTCCACTGGATATGTTCCCGGGCAAATATGTACGCTGATTTCATGTTACTGTAGTTGTTGTTTTTGTTGGTATTCTTAGCTAGTTGGGTGCTGTACAAAGTGTCTTGTTATGTTTCTTGATGTACTTTATGTTGTGTTTTATTATCGGTCCTTCTGGCCAGTGCATGTATGTTGTTGTGTTTGTACCTGTTTTGTTTTCTGGTTTGCGTGGTTTGCTTGTCTATTATTATTGTTTATTTTGGCCTTGCCCTTTGTTTGTTACTGGGCGGGTGGTTTGGTGCGAGTGTTTTTATTCCTGTATTGTTTCTGTGCTGTACGTTTGACCTGGTGTTTTCATATTGCTTTACCTGTTGTACGTGTTTGTTCTTTATGTTTTGTTTGGATTGTATTGTGATTGTCCTGTTATGTTTCCTGTTATGCCTCTTTCTGTTATGTCTGTCCTGTTATGACAGTTATGCCTCACTGTCTCGTCAAGACCATGCTGCTGGGACACCCTCACTGTCTCGTCAAGACCTTGCTGCTGGGACACCCTCACTGTCTCGTCAAGACCATGCTGCTGGGACACCCTCACTGTCTCGTCAAGACCTTGCTGCTGGGACACCCTCACTGTCTCGTCAAGACCTTGCTGCTGAGACACCCTCACTACATCGTCAAGACCATGCTGCTGAGACACTCTCACTGTCTCGTCAAGACCATGCTGCTGAGACACCCTCACTGTCTCGTCAAGACCATGCTGCTGGGACACTCTCACTGTCTCGTCAAGACCATGCTGCTGGGACACCCTCACTGTCTCGTCAAGACCTTGCTGCTGGGACACCCTCACTGTCTCGTCAAGACCATGCTGCTGGGACACCCTCACTGTCTCGTCAAGACCTTGCTGCTGAGACACCCTCACTACATCGTCAAGACCATGCTGCTGAGACACTCTCACTGTCTCGTCAAGACCATGCTGCTGAGACACCCTCACTGTCTCGTCAAGACCATGCTGCTGGGACACTCTCACTGTCTCGTCAAGACCATGCTGCTGGGACACTCTCACTGTCTCGTCAAGACCATGCTGCTGAGACACCCTCACTACCTCGTCAAGACCATGCCGCTGAGACATGCTCAGAGGTAAGTCTTGGTGAGAGTTGCCATATTGAGGTGTAGTGTCCTTCACCTCCATACAATCTCACAACGTCCCCCAGTTTTCGTCCTTTCCACCTGAACTTGACTGCGCCTCTGAAGCCTTCCCCACGTCAGGTCTCCCAGCAACACCATACATCCCCCTTCTCTCCTTCCTCCGACCTATATAACTAATATTGTTGATCAAGCTACTGATCATGTTATCAAAAAAGTTCGATCTAAACCGAGCTGAAGGAGTAGATCTCTCGAGACTGATCTCAAATAAATCATGAAGACTAGTTATGTAGAGAGTTAGCTTGGTGATGACTTAGAAGCATCATTCGAGGTTATGACATCATAAGAGATAGTATGTGACCCAGGCACTGTGGTGGGGATGAGAGGGGTCGGAAGGTTTCGATCAGCAGTGCTAGGTAAAGAAACGTGTTGGCTTGTGTGGAGTGACTTGGGACTGGTTCATGATTACCACTAAGGCAGTACAAATATGGTACTCTGAAAGTATATGACCCAAAGATTAATAGCTGGGTAAGAAGGGTGGAGTGAAGGAACGGTGCCTCTACCATACCTTGAGGCTACCTTGAGGTGCTTCCGGGGCTTAGCGTCCCCGCGGCCCGGTCGTCGACCAGGCCTCCTGGTTGCCGGACTGATCAACCAGGCTATTGGATGCGGCTGCTCGCAACCTGACGTATGAGTCACAGCCTGGTTGATCAGGTATCCTTTGGAGGTGCTTATCCAGTTCTCTCTTGAACACTGTGAGGGGTCGGCCAGTTATGCCCCTTATGTGTAGTGGACCATGGACGACGAACCGGGATCAAAGGTCGACGACGTACTTAATATAGTGTTAATGTTGCGGAAGGAGGAGTAGGTAGGGTTGAGGGAGGGAAGCTGGGATGGGTGCCTATACTGGATGACCCTCTGCACCTGAGGGAAAGTTATGGACGACGTGGGGTCGAGCAACAGGTCGGGTGAGATGCTGGAAATTGCGTGGTCATCTGGGGTGAGAGAGGATGGAGCTGTGGGGTTAGAACCACAGTAAACTGTGGGATGGTGGGAAACATATGTATGCAGATGGGGGTGATGTGGGATATGACCCTAGGGCAGTTTTGGGTAAGTAATACATCTGTATTACTTACATGTGTATTCACATGTATTAATTTAATTACATTGTAAATAAGTATTACTTATTTACGTGTATTACTTTAATACACATGTATTAAATATCGACTGGGATAAACAGTGAAATTGCACCGAGTGAGAGGCCTGGAGATGAGTGTCGTCTGGCCCTGGCTACACTTGGGCTTAGGTAGCGATGTATCATGAAGGAAGGAAGAAGATAAAATATGAAGGAAGATAAAATAATAGTATGTAAAACAATGAGAAATAACTTATGTAGTAGCGTTGTATGGGTGGTGCCTGGGCCATCACTTCCGGATCTGAAGAGCTTCTGTGTACTCAAGCATAAATGTAATAGCCTCCAACAGACGCCAGGAAGACACAAAGAAACCCGCGAACCCTCCGCTAAGTTCTGCGAGAGATGCAAGTGAAGGGAGCTATCAGAAGAAAGCGCCAAGCCATTAAGACTATATAGCACTTGGAAGGTATTAGGATAAGGATTCGGGATGGGACGGAGGTATATAATGCTGCCCAACCACTTGGATGGTCGGGGATTGAACTCTGAACTGCTTGAAGCGAGACCGTCGTTCTACCGTCCAGCCCAAGTGGCTGGGAGATGCACGTGAATGACTGCAACACGAGGCGACGACACAATGTATGCCTGCGTGTAATGTATCTCTTCACGGCTAACAATGGGATTTTTTGTATAACATTAAATATACTCACTACCTCACTGAACAATTTGTTAAATAATGTGTAACTATGACGGGGAGCCGGTCGGCCGAGCGGACAGCACGCGGGACTTGTGATCCTGTGGTCCTGGGTTCGATCCCAGGCGCCGGCGAGAAACAATGGGCAGTTTCTTTCACCCTATGCCCCTGTTACCTAGCAGTAAATTAGGTACCTGGGTGTTAGTCAGCTGTCACGGGCTGCTTCCTGGGGGTGGAGGCCTGGTCGAGGACCGGGCCGCGGGGACACTAAAGCCCCGAAATCATCTCAAGATAACCTCAAGAAGATGACAAGTTGAACCACGGGTACACTTGACATGACTGGTGGTTCAGCTGCTCTCTCAGTACACGTGACCTCACTGTCTCAACTTAATTATTCTCAAACAAATGAACCACTTGGTGCACTTAAATGTTTAACTGTAGGCCTCCCGGTACACGTGTATTAAATATTGTAATAATAGATGATCTCCTGGAAGGTTTAAGCTAATTAGTGTTACACTGGGTGTGTGGGATTTTCCCAGCAGGAATTAATTGAATATATTTATTTAATTGAGTGGACTGTATTAGAGGAGTGGACTGTATTAGAGGAGTGGACTGTATTAGAGGAGTGGACTGTATTAGAGGAGTGGACTGTATTAGAGGAGTGGACTGTATTAGAGGAGTGGACTGTATTAGAGGAGTGGACTGTATTAGAGGAGTGAACTGTATTAGAGGAGTGGACTGTATTAGAGGAGTGAACTGTATTAGAGGAGTGGACTGTATTAGAGGAGTGGACTGTATTAGAGGAGTGGACTGTATTAGAGGAGTGGACTGTATTAGAGGAGTGGACTGTATTAGAGGAGTGGACTGTATTAGAGGAGTGGACTGTATTAGAGGAGTGGACTGTATTAGAGGAGTGGACTGTATTAGAGGAGTGGACTGTATTAGAGGAGTGGACTGTATTAGAGGAGTGGACTGTATTAGAGGAGTGAACTGTATTAGAGGAGTGGACTGTATTAGAGGAGTGAACTGTATTAGAGGAGTGGACTGTATTAGAGGAGTGGACTGTATTAGAGGAGTGGACTGTATTAGAGGAGTGGACTGTATTAGAGGAGTGGACTGTATTAGAGGAGTGGACTGTATTAGAGGAGTGGACTGTATTAGAGGAGTGGACTGTATTAGAGGAGTGGACTGTATTAGAGGAGTGGACTGTATTAGAGGAGTGAACTGTATTAGAGGAGTGGACTGTATTAGAGGAGTGAACTGTATTAGAGGAGTGGACTGTATTAGAGGAGTGGACTGTATTAGAGGAGTGGACTGTATTAGAGGAGTGGACTGTATTAGAGGAGTGGACTGTATTAGAGGAGTGGACTGTATTAGAGGAGTGGACTGTATTAGAGGAGTGAACTGTATTAGAGGAGTGGACTGTATTAGAGGAGTGGACTGTATTAGAGGAGTGGACTGTATTAGAGGAGTGGACTGTATTAGAGGAGTGGACTGTATTAGAGGAGTGGACTGTATTAGAGGAGTGGACTGTATTAGAGGAGTGGACTGTATTAGAGGAGTGGACTGTATTAGAGGAGTGGACTGTATTAGAGGAGTGAACTGTATTAGAGGAGTGGACTGTATTAGAGGAGTGGACTGTATTAGAGGAGTGGACTGTATTAGAGGAGTGGACTGTATTAGAGGAGTGGACTGTATTAGAGGAGTGGACTGTATTAGAGGAGTGGACTGTATTAGAGGAGTGGACTGTATTAGAGGAGTGGACTGTATTAGAGGAGTGGACTGTATTAGAGGAGTGAACTGTATTAGAGGAGTGGACTGTATTAGAGGAGTGGACTGTATTAGAGGAGTGGACTGTATTAGAGGAGTGAACTGTATTAGAGGAGTGGACTGTATTAGAGGAGTGGACTGTATTAGAGGAGTGGACTGTATTAGAGGAGTGGACTGTATTAGAGGAGTGGACTGTATTAGAGGAGTGGACTGTATTAGAGGAGTGGACTGTATTAGAGGAGTGGACTGTATTAGAGGAGTAGACTGTATTAGAGGAGTGGACTGTATTAGAGGAGTGGACTGTATTAGAGGAGTGGACTGTATTAGAGGAGTGGACTGTATTAGAGGAGTGGACTGTATTAGAGGAGTGAACTGTATTAGAGGAGTGGACTGTATTAGAGGAGTGAACTGTATTAGAGGAGTGGACTGTATTAGAGGAGTGGACTGTATGAATATTTAGATCTTCTGCTGGGTGTTACCCTCTACACATAATTGAGGGGTGTTTATTATGAATATGTGGCTTATATCCAAAATTCACTGAGAATAACAATAAACTTCAGAATATTATCATGTTAGTTAACTACCAATGGATTCGTATTCTCCTCATTAATGGAAAGAATTGCGAGCTTTGTGAACTGAGAATTGAGATTCGTATTCTACTCTAATGTAGCAACGGCCTGAAAAGAAGGGAAGGGGAACTACCAGGAGAAAGCGCCAAGCCATTACGACTATATAGCACTTGGAAGGAGTTAGGATAAGGATTTGGGATGAGACAGGGAGGAAAGGAATGGTAACCAACCACTTGGACAGTCGGGGGATTGAACGCCGACCTGCATGACGCTCTACCGTCGCTCTACCGTCCAGCCCAAGTGGTTGGGTAGAAAAGACGCTCTCGTTGTCATTCAATCGCAGTGCTGGGTATCTTGTAGGTTGACAACGTAATGGCGACTTAAGGATTCTTCTGGAACTACAGGTAAATGCGACGTCTGCTCTTCTTCTCTTGAACTGCGCCCGATGTTGTGGGTCTGCCTGTGTCATAACAGTAACAACTAATTAGCTTTAAGTACTGGCCACCACTATATACTGGTCCGGAGTAACACTTCCCTAAGTGTTAGGTAGTGCTCGTCGGTTGGGGGGATTTTGCTATCCTGTGTCGGGAAGCACGTACTTTTTTTTTTTTCAACCACAGACGTGGCCACACATTTACAATGCTAACCAGCATATATACATTTTCTTCTGTCCTCCATGGACAGGGTTAGAGAAGTGTTAAACATACAGTTCAAGGGTTTATTGAACACTCAACCACAGAAGGTGATTCGGTGCTTTTAAAATGCTAAGCTAACCTACATACGTAAATACATAGATACACAGATTTACGTATGCCCTACATAAAGTATTAGATGTGTCTTTTACATAGTATCATTAATGTACATACTGATTGCCACACGTT